TATTCATTTTACTACAACACGTGAGACCTGTCCGAAACTATGAGCTTCACCCCGCCAAGGTAGTGTCCCGCCCGCTAGGGGAGTTACCTGGACGAAAACCCCCACAAGCCACTTGTAGGTGGTCTCCAGATCTAGCGTGGAAGGACTTGTTTCACGGGATAGACATGAACTACACTTTCGGGAATAGTGCGTTCAGGATCTGATGCGTCCAGAAACACAAAATAATGATTCTACGTCCTTTTGTAAAAGTTATATTCAAATCAAACGAGTGGTTTTTCTATTTGTAGAGTTAGTTTATAACCATTATATATTATCACTTATTATTATTATTATTATTATTAATATTATTATTTTTTTATTATTTTTGACGTATAGGCCGTTACTGACCACGCTAGACGATTACCGTGTGTAATTTTTCCAGGGTCAGCTTGCCAGCTGTATCCCTCAGTACATGATTGTTACGCCTTGAAGTGTGAATGATCATCAGGGGGTGAAGGGACAATCAGAAATACGACCGTATCTACGCAAAGTTCGAACCTGCAGCCTCCTCGGCGCAACAACTGCTGCTGCAACAGTCTGCGTCACGGGGCCGACTATTATTATTATTATTATTATTATTATTATTATTGTTGTTGTTGTTGTTGTTGTTGTTGTTGTTGGTTCCGGATATGGTTCTGTGAACAACTAGTTTGTTAGCAAGGTTTCTTTTTTTCTTCTGGTTAAAAGATTCCATTCAGTCGTGTTACAAAATATGCAACATCGGAGCTAATGCAAGCCCAAATGTATTGACTCTGAAAATTATTTTTACTTGAATTACAAGTGTGTTAAAAGTTTCTAAATATTTTTAAAATAAATGTATCTCGGCTTCTTGGAATACAATATTAGTTCTGTCAATAATAGTATATGTCTGGTGTGTAGAAACAATGCTTTTACCTTCGACTGATATGCGTAATTTGAGGCATATGCATTCAAATCTACCTCATCATTACGCGAAGATTTTACAAATGGAAAAAATAACTTGTCGGGTCCGCACAGGGAAGTCCGCATTCGGATTCCTAAAAATGACCTTCAGACCTCCATGTTCCCAGTTTTTATAGTCCTCGTTTTCGAACATTTTAGCTTGAGGAAAGCTCAAAATGAGATTAACACGATCTTATATTTAATCCAGTATGTATAGACCAACGTTGATACTCTCAAGATAATAAATTAGAGATACTACAACAGCACATACTTTATACCATGAACGAAAATTGTTAGAAAATATTAAAATATTGTAATTTTTGCTATACTAAAAACTGAGTTACTACTTTAAAAAGTCTAATTCAAACGAATTGCATCTCGCGCTTATCTGCATTTATTTCCATTGTCAAGAAGAGTAGTCATATCGTACATTTAGAAATAAAACGAACTTTTAAACGAAAATTTAAATGTTACAGTATTTACAGACAATAATATAGAAAAAGCAATAATAACTTTACAACCTATCTTTATTACATTTGAGGAGAGTTTGCAACCTTTTAATACAATAATTAGCGATTAAAACTTCTTAAACTTTGGAAGTATGTTTGTTAGTTCCAAGTTAAATTTTATTAAATTCCTTCAATATGTTTCCTTTCATGAAAATGTTATTTTCATCATACAATCATGACCGAAACAATGCGATGAATTTCAAGAATTCCAAAATATCTGTGTCACTTTCCGAACTGGCAGCGCCTGAAACGAAGCGCGCGAAATTGGAAGTTACAATTCCCAACGTTGCAATTTTCAAAAACGACGAGTGCGCCGAAAATAGGACTATCACACTTGTCTTCATAGTTCTTTGGTACATACTAGGAGAAAAATTAAAGACAAATTTTGAAGCCTTTTATGAGAAAATTGTTTCAAATGGTTTTAAAAGCGCCTCTTTCATCTAAAATTACGGAACAAATACTCATATTTTTGAAATATTGAACATGACATCCTTTGAAAAACTGTTTTTGACTAACATATTTCAATAATGAAAATATTATAATCAAAATTGTAGTTGTAGGACGGCGCCAAATACATTTTGAACTTATCCAATTTTCGAAAATTCAGGGATTTAAACGGAAGTGAGAACCATTCTCTCAACGTCCTTCACATTATCCAACAACAAAATGTAAAAAAAAAGCGATGGAGCAATTTTTTTAACGTTTTGATAATGTCCCAGGGGTTCCATGTAACGTACCCCCCAAAATTAAAATATCTGTTTAAAATTCAAGAGACCGCGACATCAGCCAGGTCAATTGGGAAATATCACTATTGGAGAAAATTAACTGAACGGTTTCACCACTAGCGTTATTCACTGACGGACAGTTAGACGGATAACAAGACAAACGATTTGCCATCATTCGATTTTTTTCGGTATCAAGGTCTCACAAAAGATGGATTCTAGCTACACCACGTGTTAGAGATTTTTTTCTGAATCTTGAACCAGAATCAGACCGAACCCGGAACATCCCGGGGGAAGAAAGAGAGATGGGGAGAGGAATATTACCACAATTATTTCTTCTGCGACAGCAACGCGTCGGCTTCCTGCTAGTTAGTAATAATAATTTTTATGTCAAAACGTATAATTTTTGTAATATGAGTTATATCTTAATATTTAAAAATTAGTTATGACTATTTTTATGACTAGCAAATATGAGTAATACGTTAAGGGATAATATAATTTTTCCACTTTCCCATTTTCCCTCTCCTTGTTCTTCTTAAATATTCGCGCTTAAAATGATTACTATAGCAATGTTTTACATATGTATAATTATCCCCTACGGCTTATCGAAAAATGCTGGAAGTGAAACAGTACTTCCAAAAGATGACTAATTTTAAATGGCGTGTTCTAAAATTAACTTCAACTGGTGCCAATGTGATATTTTATTTACTCTTGTTTTGCCCGACCAAGATTCTATGACGTTTAGAACACATCCTATAATAGAGGTTTCAAAACTATCATTACTCACTCCTCAAAGTGAATTTGAACGAATTCACAAATGATTGATAAAAAAATTCATGTATAATATAAAAACTAAAAAAATTAAACTCACTGTCAACGTCGTTGTGGTTGTTTTTGAAAATTTCATTGTAATCTGCAAACCCGCACAAAACACCCAGCCTGTTCTAAATGGTTGTCGATTTTCGCATGGTTCAACATTTTAACATATTTCGAGTCGTGCTTGTTATTATTTATAATAATAATTCAAATGATTAATCCGAAATACTTTCAATCATAAATTTGCGTTCCCAACGTGGAATATATTTGTATAGAGTATAAAAACTGTTCAAAAAATGGATTTCCCAGCTTAGGAATGCTTATATCAATAAATATTCAAAAATTTCAATGTTTATATATTGTGAAAAGTCAGAAAGAGCCCGTTTTATTGTAGTATAAATGGCATCAAAATATTGTATATATTACGTCAATTAATGCATGTATAATGCGAACTAAGTCAAAGAATACACGTTGTGTACCAGTAAATAACTAGCTAGCGAGCTAGAATATACTACATAGAGTGCCTGAAACGCCTCCGTCTTCAAAGCAAATTGAAACCATATTTTTTTGTAGTCAAAAAAGCGCTCTCTTGGAAACAAAGTATTTTAGCATTCCCTTTGGCGCTGGTTACGGACAGTTCCACTCAGGTTAAAGGCCACTTGTATGTTTAGACTTCAAAAATGACGTTCATTCTCTCTCTCTTTCGCCAGCGGCCGAGGTCACATCGGCTGCAGGGTATAATCACTATCAGTTCGGATCGGGGTTATTATTTCAATCAGAGGGACATGGGTAACACGAAATTGGGTCCATATTTTTCAGAGTTTAAAATGTCATCAATGTAAAGATGTCAAAAGTATTTTTGAATGTTAAGTGAAATTTGAAATAGATTTTGTAGTCGGAATGAAATTTTGATAGGAAAGAATCGTAGACCATCTCTTGCATTCATGTTGAACACAGACAGTCGCCAATAGGCATCCAACCGAGGTACAGCATAGAGCAAGTCGCGAACGCGTACGACTTTATTGCAATTTTTTTTATCGGACCTTTAACGAACTGACAACCACCCGGGTGGCATTTTTAATCAGAATTTGGCTTTGGAAGAGAATACGGCAGGAGAGTCAGCACCATTAACGGGAAGTAGCACCAAGAGAGATCGGATGGATGTGCCAATCGGAAGACAACCGAGAAATCACCGAAGCGCGCCAAGATCAAAGGAAGCCATGAATTTTGAGTTTTGACCTGTACCGGATGATGATTATTGTGTACAAGAAAAACAATATCAATTCAATTAATTAGCTCAGTGAGTGTAAATAAAAAAGTTAATAAATGTTATTTTGTTGGAAAAATTGCATTGCATGAGTGCATGAGGGGAATTTGCTAATTGATACGTATATTCACTTCTATTTTATCACTTTTATTTTATGTCAGGTAAGTTTTTTTCAAATAGACAGAAAGAATATGTATATCTATATCATGACAAGTGTATCAAGACAATTTCAATGATATACATATTGCCATATGTTAAATAAGCACTTTTTGAGTAATTTTGATTTTTTTGCTACTTGTGTTCAACGGATATTTTGAATATAACAGTTCGCCACACAACGTCTCACAGCGGTCCCACTGCTAGCGCGCGATCGGTTCAGGGAAGGGGTATAATATTTGGAGATACTAAACATATTTCCAATATTCACAAAACTGTTGCAATGTGTTTAGTTTCAAGATCCCATTATTATCCTGTGGTATGAAACCCCTTAAAATGAAATTGAAATATCAAACAACCTTATTTCAATACATACTACTTGTAACAAATCCATATTTTCAATCCTTAAGTAAGACAAAACATATGAAAGTACGGAAGGATGGAAATCAGAATTCTGGGAAACATTATATATAGGTTGAGGACATTTCTTTTTTGATAACATAATACTTCACGAATTTTTCACACAAATTTATTTTTTACCATTAAAAAAGCTTATTGCTATTTTATTGTGTGAACAATGACATGCATAATGTATGACTGAAAAATAGTTGACTCCAACTCTTATTTACACACAACTAGCTTGAAGTCTCATGGTGCTTTGACTAGGAAAACGTCGTCTAAAGGAACCTTGTCGAAGAGGCGACGAGCGTATTCTCGAAATGAGTAACCACAAATTTCTTGCAGGGGTACTCTCAGTTGCGACCAAATTTCCATCCAGTTCTCGTTGACGAGATTATTGATTGTGGTACCTGAGAATTCACACAAACATTAGACATGACGTGTAAATGCAAGATAGAATTTTAATGATATACAACTTAATATTTCACTCATCAATACGTGTTTGCGCTTAAATTAATATTATAAATGATGTACTATGTCGTTATGTTACGTATTAATTAATGATTGGTGTGGACTCTTATTTGGTAAGGAGAAAGACAAATATTCATATCAATACCTCTATGTCAATACATAACAAAGCTTCAAGTAAATAAGCGCGAACGAACAAAAAGCGAATGATACTGCAACAGTACATAATTTCTCCTTTTACTTGTAACTGATTTTTATATTGCAAATTGCATCCTACTTATATCTTAGCTATCACGTGAAAATATCTTGTTAGTAAAAGAAGCTCTGAGGATTCTAATTTACAAAATTAAAAAAAATCACAGGTTTAATTAAAACTATCTTACATTTATAAGCGCATACTCGAGAGTAAAAAATCAGCAAAAACAATACACACCTTCTTGCCACTAGTAATGGCCATGTAATACTATTTTTACCATTTGTCTTCGAATTAACACATCTAAGTCTGCTTTGATTATAAAACTCAAATTTTAGTGGTTTAATGATATTTATTATTAATCAAATCACTATTCGCGCAGAAAAAACGCATTTACCGTTCACAAATGACTTCCTAATTATACAAAAGTGCTTCGATTATTGGAAATGGGCATAAGTTTCGATTAGGTATAGTCTGGGACGAAAAAGAAAATAAAGAAATAATCTTTAACGGAAATCTGTTCTTTCGAAGCTAAAACGAAAAAAAGTACCACATCCGAGTATATCCAGTACGGAAAAAAATTTCTAAAACATTATTTATTATTTTTGAGTGCCTACTCTCCAAGACTATATTGTTCCAGGATTAGTTTACTTCTCACTTTATTAATTAAACACTACTAACTCTGGACAGATTTAAATGATTCTGCAAATTATTGAAAGGTTTCCTATTTAATAATGGTATGAACATTAATGATTTACTAGAATACACTTGAAAAACCCGTCAACTACCTTAACTCAAATACGTAAAACATGGTTGATTTCTTTTAAAATACGCTTTAAAATATGTTCTACGGGTGCTTGAAATTGCGTTTATGTATCCTCGGATTAAAAACGTGTTTATTTGTTAAAAAGTATAATTTTTCCCACTTGCAGAGTTATTAACAAAAATATAAACAATGCAATTGATGTTCTTCAAACAATTTACACTTCCTTCAAAACATCTGAAATAATTTTTCCATCTTCCTTGACAGTTGGCTATTCGCTTTCCTTGGTAGTTAAAAAAACCGATTTTTATTTTTGAGAAAACCATGTGAAGTTTTTCATACTAATATACAGGATCGGGCAAGTACAACCCTACTCTTAGCAATATTATTTACCTTTCCTGGATTATTTATGAGGAATAGATGGGGTTTTGTTGGGGCAGGGCGCCTGCTTTCAAGGGTGCGAAAATTGAAAAATATTTGTATACTAAACAGTATTGGAGTATCTTCTGCGTTCTTACGTACATCAAAAAATCAATTTAGAGCTAAAAAACTAATAAAACTAATATGTGTTCCTTCGAGTAATAAAGAACATTTGATACCGTTCGAAACAATTCAATGGGTTTTGACTTCACTTCGGTACATGAGTGTTGCTTAAACAATGTTTATACGTATTAAATATCTTAGAATACCTTACGTTTAATATCAAACGTTGTATTATTAACAATATGAGTTTACAGCTGGGCATTGTTGCACAGAATTCCACATACCGCAAAACATAAATCGTGAGTCTGGATTGTGTTCGTTGGCAGTTGTCGAATTACTTACGCGGTTCATCCTATAATTTTAAATTTAGTTGCTTTTTAAAATTAATTCTCGTAGTACATTTGGCTAGCGCGTTTTGGTTTTTGTTGTTCGTTTATTTCAAGTTATTTTACATTTGTTAATTTAAAAAGTTTGTTCTTTGTGTTGCGCCGTAGCACAAGTTTTCCCCTACTACCTCCACGAACCCGTGCGTGAACTCTAACATGTTAAACCCCACACCTATCCTTCTATTTCCATTTAAGAAGGAAAATTATTAACGAAACGTATTTATTTGTTTAAATTTTATAAAGGTAACTTCCAATGTACTAAAACAATATCAAAAATAAAGAAATGCAATTGATGTTGAAAATAAATTTTCACTAAAGATATATTCAGTATTATTGAGAGATTTCTTGGAACAATTCGCAACACTTCATTAAAAAAATTGAAGTAATTATTCAATATTCTTTGAGAGTTAGCCTTTCGCTTTTCGTGACAGTAACAATATATTAAAAAGATTTGTACGCTTGACTAAACATTGACACACGCTGACTTGAACTTTTCACCGAATCACTGCTGATAATGAAAATAGTGGTACAGGTAAAACACAAACCAAACCTAACAAGACACGTCTTCACTCTTCACTGTACACTGACATACCTCCACAATTAGGTACACAGCACTTGTAGACCTCGGCAAAACTTTAAATTAATGTTTTCACTACACGCATATGAAACATTCATCAACGGAAACAAGCAATTATTAATAGTGCTTTTAGTTATAATTCAAGATCCGAGAGAGCGAATCTCGATTTAATAATTATGCAAATATATCTTGCCATTCTGCACAAACTACGGTGTGCACAGAAAGTCTAAATAGAATAAGATAGTCATCTTATCCTTCTAAGCGCGACGTCACAACGATGGCCACCATCAGAAAGGGTTGAAATATAGGTGTTATCGAAAAGTGCTGGAGCAGCCAAAAGTTGATGAATTTCTCGTCCTGTGGATTGAGGCCCTCGTCTTAAAATTTTAGTTTGTAAGGCCGTAGAACGCATCGTTTAGGAGTTATTTAACGATATAACTGAGTGCTGCGGTTTGCAATTGATGTGAATATTTGAATGCGTTTTTTAAACAAATCCGTCATGTTTCTAAAGTCAAAATGCAATTCGTTACGACTCCGTGTAATTCTCTTTCTTTAGGGACCTCATTTACATAGATCAGGTGTGTGTGAGATCCGCAAAACGTACTCCTATACCACTAAAATAATATAGGAGACGTTAGTGATCTTTGAACTTAATAACTTTGTAAAGGCCGTACTAATTATAACTTCACTCTCGCATGCATGCTCTAGCCAGATGGTGAAACGGCTACCGCTTTCGATACACCGTCAAAGAGAAACACAAACAACAATTGCATTTGCACTTGAACTAAGTAAGGAACAAATGACCGCAAATTTGATTAATTTGAAAGTACAAACTTCTTTCTAAACGAACATTTTTACAATTTTAAATAAATAGATATAGGAAATAGGAAAGCATTTTCATTTGATATTTTTACTCTTTTACTACTCTACTTTAGAGATTAGATTTGTAAAACTACTTTGTCAGTTACACTTGAGATGGTACATAAACGTCATGTTTCTGGGTGGCGACGAGTTAGGATTTGTTGATAGAGTGCAGACCAAAAGCTATATCTGCTAATTTCTTCAGAGGGTCCATTAGCCGGTATCAAACTTCGTTCCAGTTCTCGTAGTCGAGATTTAAAAAAAAAGTTTCTTTATAAATTTTATAATGCGGTTTAATTGAAATTATATGAAACAATCTCGCAATTAAATTTGTGATATCTATTGTGATTACCAGAGCTGGTCAAAGACAAATATTTCAGAATAGTGGAAAATATTTTTATTGGCAATAACCATAAATTCTAAGTATATACCAAATGTCTCAAACACACACACACACACACACACACACACACACACACACACACACGCGCGCGCGCGCGCGCACACACACCCTCACACACTCGGCCAATAAGAAAATAAAGCATGATATAGTTGTTGCAAGAACAATTGTTACCTAGAGTCTTGTCGCCGTTGAATAGATTCTCAAAATGCAACACCAGTTTATCCAGATGGTTAAGTTCAAAAGAAAAGTCATTAACTTTAAGGTATTCTTTATTCTTCTTCATGATTTTTTCTCCTGTCATGGCACCGTCACCGTGCAAGTTGGCTGAAAATGACATTTGATTTTAAATAACATATGTGTATAACTTTTATAAAATAAGGATCTATATTACATGATGAGAAAATTGTTGGGAGTGTTGAAGTCTTTGATATTTTATATGTTTGGGTATATGATATTGGATCTTCCCAAGTGGTAATAGTATTATTTTTTACATTAAAATGATTAAATATTTCATTCGGGCGAGTCTATAAAATAGCTATAATTTTCAAACAGAATATACATTTTGTATTTTTATATAGAAGTGCCGTGTATCTCGCATATTATAATAACATAATTGCTATTATATTACTGTTATTAGCATATAATATTATTGTTATATTATTTATTATTATTATTTATTATTATTTATTATTATTATTATTATTATTATTATTATTATTATTATTTGTTCTCTATATTCATTCTCGTGGCTATTGATACTTACTTAAATTGAAGATGACTTTTCCTTCGCCCTTCGCAGGTATGAGAAGAATTCGACCATCCATTTTGTAGTGTGCTTCCGCATATATCGAATCTATTTCTACATGTGGTGATATTAGAAAAGCATCAACATCAAGTCTGAAACAAATATATTCGTACAATATGTCAGTAAATTGTCACGTGTGTGTGTTTCAAGTTTTTGCTTACTGTAATTAAATTCACGAAGAAACATGGTGTCTATAAATTATAAAGTAAGACTATTATTGAGTCGAAAAATTCACATATCTGAGAAGGATTATGTTTGCACATGGAGAGTAATAAAAGGGGCTTCAAATTCCGAAATGGTGTGGCGGTTCTTCATTTCTAAAACAAACGAATAGCTTGGTGCAAAAAAAAGCCAGATTTTTGTATCTACCTATGTCATACCGTTAAAGGAGACTGGAGAATCACTGTCCATCCAAGGAAAATATTAAAACGTATCACGTAACATAAATATTTCGATAGAAGATATTCATCAGTTCTAAGACTTCATCATGAGAGAAAGGCTCGAGAGAAAGGCACTGACGTGAGTAGTATCTTGCAGATAAGATTCTCGAAACCTATTTATGTAAATTGAGCGTCTTAAGTGACATAATTCCCACAATTTATGAGAGTCTGCGCAAGCTCAATTTTCTGTAAATATTGATTGATTAATTGATTAGTGATTTCGGGCGCGACAATGGCTAAGGTCTTTAGCCCCGTAAGTGTAGTGAATGCTTTTCTATCCTGAGAGGTGGCGGTGATTTCCCTTCTGGCTGGCGAGATTCGATGCCGACCTACGTCAGCTTGCGGTGTTTCCTCAATCAGATATCTCCCACCAGTGGGGCACCGCCCCAGCCGGGTTAATCACTAAGCTTCTCAGCAAGTGTGTGTGTGTGTGTGTGTGTGTGTGTGTAAGGGATGAGGATAAAAGGAAGAGAAAGGAATGATAGCGCGTGGTTCGTTGCCCTCTTGATAGGGTAATGTGATAAATTATCACAATGTCTGCAAAGAAACGAAAAAAATCAGAAAAAATATAAACAAAGCGACAGTAACAATGGGGGACAGAGGAGAAGCAATTGATCGATTAATATCTAATAAAAATACAAGGGATTGTCTACATAATTAATATAGAGCAAAATATGGAATGTAGTGGTAAATAAAAGTGTGTGGACACGTAAAAAATTTCCGTGAGTAAACAAGTAAATTACGAAAGTAATCAGGAATCATTAAGCTAAGAATAAATAAGGTGCTAGAATGACGTTGACCAATCAAAAATTAGAATATGTGCAAGGCGATGTTTAGCCTGCGCACTGGGACGAAGGAGACACGCATTTCAGCACGATTCTTCCCATGGAAGAAAGAAGAAGAGCGGGCAAGGCAAACAAACGGGGCAGACTATATTCCGACGCGGGGAGGTGCGGAAGATATTATGATGTGGTAGCGTTCGGATGGCACAGACGCGTTTACGATTTGATAGTGTTATGTAAACCAGTAATCTGTAGGAAAAAGTTATAAGTACAAAGAAAACTATAATTGCATGTGTGAGAGAAGAAGAGGCCTTCCAAACTAAAATGGAACTTTGAATCGACGCACAACGACGTTCAAGAGAACTGAGTGCAACCAAAGGAATGTTACTTAATGGGGGACATGTTAAATTCTATAAATGTATTCAGATCAAGTTTTGGATTAGGCTAATGATTTCTAAATTGTAATTTAAAGAAGGGTAATGACCATGCGTGCAAGGGGAAATATTCAGGAAAGAATATTAAATAAAAATAATAATGGTTTTATTACATTCTTTGAGTTGTAATTATAAAATGCTATGTACATATGTGATAATTGAGTTCACAGCAAAATACATATCACAACGTTTAATTTGAAGTAAGAATTGTTATTTCTTGGTAGTAGTAAAAGAAATTCCAATCCCACGTGAGAAGGAAATAAAAATAGCATACGTATATTTTCATAATCGAGCCTCAGTAAAGACGGTCTATCTGATTCATAAACAAATTTATTACGACGAGGCAACCTCGGTACACCCATAGAACTATTATCGGGTTAAATGCCTGCAGAAATATTGAATAAAAATTAGGTAGGTTAATCAAACAAAATGGTACCAAGAAAACACACTCGTCTAAGTACTGTTACGGCCTGTGATGATCGGTGAAGCCACAGAAAAGTACTGATCAGAGCAACCTTCCGTTACAATTCTCGTCCAGACAACGGCTAAATTCGGCCTAGCTGTCTAGCTAGAGTCAAAAATCCTGTCATCTTTACTCGAAATCTAGGACCTTCCGGTGATAGGCACTGCAGTGACATCAGGTAATACCCTGACCCAACTTTGCCGGTTTCTGCAAGGGAAAGGTCCTCATCCACGCTGTCGCTGAACGAGACACCAAAGATTAGGGCCTCCTTCGGGCTTAGCACGACGCTTTAACGGCTAGGGAAGACGTATGCATTCTCGCAGCCCTGGTACAAGTGGTTCGTCTCTGCGCTCGAGGGTGGCTGTAGCTTTTTTGAGTAAAATATATTATTTATTTAATAGACAGGCAATGTGTAAGTATACGTCTGCAATGAGGACCTAGTAGCGTCCAATAGTAAGTCCAGAACAATGACCTTTACGTGTTGAAAAAATGGTGCAAACGAGAGATCTCTACAGCAAATATTATTTTAATTATATTTTAAAATCACGATAATAGAGTAATTTCAACACTATACCTTTTGTGAGTTACAAAATATTATTCAAACTGAACTAAAATATTTAAACATTTGTAATGCATTATTATCATTATCATCATCATCATCATCATCATCATCATCATCATTATTATTATTATTATTATTATTGTTGTTGTTGTTGTTGTTATTATTGTTATTATTGTTATTGTTATTATTAATACTATTATTATATTGCATAATTTTAAAATTAAGCTGAATTTTTCCTGTTGAAAACCTGCCCAGGACAAACTGTTACTTATTACGAAGTCGCTGGCATTTCAGCACCACCCATATCGAAAAAAAATTATGTGTATATTAGTATTATAGTATTATTACATTCAGTGAAGTGGAAACTAGTCAAGGGCGAAATATTATCACTCGATTCGAACTACCTCAGCTCACGAATCTGGGCCCCAATTCGTTGCCTAAGTTGTAAGGGGTTGTTCCCTCAACGCTGTCCCACGTTGCCCTTCCGAGAAAGGTGGTTTTGTAGAATGGAAAGGTTTCTTTCGCTTTATTCTTGAAAATAGGATTATCTTTTAGAATTCCCTTTATGTATTGTGATAGAATAATTAATGGATTTCTGTTATTTACATTGGTAAACACGCACGTAGCCCCTTAACCACCAACTATCTAAACAACGTTTTAAGAGCGTATCCATAGATAAGGGTATTAAAATACTAGAGTTTATTACAAATATTTTAGCGGACTTTCCGGTTTAGATTTTATCAATGCTCATAAATCTTGGGATAAACATGACGTTGACACAAATCAGAATTTTGGGGAATAAATGTAAACAAAATTTATGTCACAATTATTTTGGTGCAAATATGTTGACAGTACGAATATCCGAGCATCATCTCTTCGTTAATGCCTCGAACATTCCTTTTCGTTCACCAAACACAAAATAAATCATTAGATTTTTTGTAAGTGGTTACAGATTTAAAATGGATCAAACCAGAGCTTGCAGCTTTTTCTTCCTCCAAAGCTTCATCTGGCACAAAAATATCTTCTGATACATCGAAATTCCCGAACATTTTTCTCAATCAACTTGCATTAGCAGAAAAAGCGTTCACGTTTTATCGCAAACAGAGCATCCAGTACCACGAACCCTTGCTGAGAGTAATGCCAATGACAATTGACAGTAATGGCAATTTTTAATACATGAAAGTGATAAAAGGTTACTTTGAATAAACGATATACAAGAAATAACAAAAACATTGTAACTCGTCCTCTATTAGTCTTTAACAATTCAGACGGAAGGTTTACTCAGCGTCGCTCTAACTCCACCTCTCTGTTAACCTTCCCACATCGTTCTTAAAGAGGCATTTAGAGGACTTGTGACATAAATAACTGTTATTTTGAAGTGTTTGTAACATTTTTCTCTCTAGCTAGCGCTCACGCAATAGAGAGAAAGTTATGTAATTTGGCGCGAAAAAAACAATTTTCGTCTGAAAATATTTTATTACAGGGCCCTGGTAACTAAAAAAGTGGGTAAATCCAGTTGCTAATTTTAGGGGGAAATCTTCTAACACGCTAACACGTGGTGTAGCTAGAATCCATGTATTATGGGTCATTCATACCGAAAAGTAGATTGACGTCAAAACGACTCTCTGTCAGTGAACAACGCTAGCAGCTAAACCGTTCGGCCGATTTTCTCCAATATTTATATTAATCATTCTATATGACTGTTGCCACGGTTCCTTGAATTTGAAATCCCTATTTTAATTTCGGGGTGCAGGCCTCATGTTCGTTTAAAATCCTGATTTTTTCAAAATTGCAAACGTTCAAACTTTTATTGGTATCTTCCTGCAACTAGAATATTATAGATAGAGTTTTCCCCTTAATTTAATCTGTTCCTTAAATATAAACTTTGAAATAAGGTAATGCACAATTTGTCGAAAATTTGAGTTTTATAAAAAATTACGAATAAAATGTGTTAATTCGGAGAGATATTGCAGGTATAAACAGTATTACATAAGCATTACTGAGAGCGAGATGTGCTGTTTTAGCATCACTAGTTAATTGTGCATTAACAGATATTACTTAGTTGAGACAACTCGTCCAAGATGAAAATACTGAGGGGTAGTAGCCACATTAAGGATATTGGAGATCACTTCTTTGAAAAATGTATTTCTCTTTGTGTTGCTGTTTGCTAATTTGATATTGTTACGAGAACTCTTTGTTACTGACTTGTGAAATTAATAAATAACCCTTACGTATATTTGTGTGTGTTATCCAAGCGAGAAAAAGAAATTGGTCCATGTATTTTTTGATAAATAATTGGATAGAAAGATATATATGTTAATAAGAATTGTTGTTTGCAGAAATTATTTCACATTAAAAAATGTTTGGTTCTTGTTAATTACGAGTGTTAAAGCATGTACTCATTCTGATAGAGTCAAAGAGTTCGTGTATCTCCCTAACGACAGAACAAGATGTGTTAGAAACTAGTGGAAGTCTAGACGAGGATGTAACATGTGTCACAATCGAAAAATTGCAACAAAAAAACAAAACTTTTCTACAAAAGTAAAACTGTTTATGGAATCAAACAAGTAAAGGAAATAATTATTAATCATACCACGAGTTCAAATGAAAACTAGCTATGAGGTTCGCAAACCCGAGGGTCCCAGGACTGGACACAACCCAGTTGTATCTTCAGCTCTTCTACAAACTCCATGATCCTGAGAGACAGAAATAGATTAACGCCAGAACAGTCGATTTTGGCAACCAGTTCGCGCCAACCGAAGAGTTTGAGATTTTAGTTACGGCACCGCCACCTCCTGCTAGGGGCTACCTACTCTGAGGTTAGTAGGTGAGAAACAAGGATGGGCGATGTATTTCGATTTGCTGTGAGTCTACCACTGTGACCAAAAAAAGAACCCAATTAGTGGCCCATCTGGACGAATCTGGAGGACGCAAGAGTTTGCCTTCCTCCAAACAGCGGTCACCTTGGCACTAACGATGGGTCATAACTATTAGCGGTATAACACGGGAGACCGTGAGGTCGTTCCGAATATATTGCTTGAACATGAATTATATTGCTTATATATTGCTTGAACATTTTACCAAAATTTCTAATTCAAAAAGAAAACCTACTACATTATAAAATTACACAATTTCCATAATTTCCATTAAAAAGAGGTGTTAAGGAAAAACCTGGAATTTCCATAAAAGCAGGCCATAAAGAATGACATAAATTCCTCATCATTGTTAGAATAATTTCATGGTAATCAACAAGAAAATAAATTTCGCATGACGAAATTTCTATTACTCGAGGAAAATTTTTGATTAAATTATTTTCCTGGCTTTCTATTTTATCTAGGTTTAACTCACTTGACGTTTGTTGATTTCGCACTCGAAATGTTGTAAATGCGAATATCCGTAAAATTGATTTTCAAGTTGACAGGGGCGTTAGAGTTCGGATCCCCAATACTCAACTGAGGGATTTCAAGAGGTTCCAAAGTGGGAATGCCGAACTCTGGAAGTCCTGTAAAACGAGAGTTTCAATTAATATCGACTTATTTATCCTGGCGAAAAAAAGTGCGCAACTTTACCTTTTTTAAAAAATGCAAAAATTAGTAAATTTATTAGCTTTAAGTATAATCTACGATTGGATAAATTACCTGATGCAAGCTCGTGAAGGGCGACTGAAATTGCTTCCTCCAAACAGGAAGACGTAGTTGGATCGTTCCTCGGGCAGAGTTTGAAACCAGGAGCTGAAATATTATAGAGAAAATTGTGTTGATTGAATTGATGACCTCGAATCCAAACACTATTAAGGAAATTTTAAGGTAGAAAAACTGTTTAATTATACTGTACAAATCGTTTGATTTTTAGAACCATACATTGGCCTTTAACGCTTGTTCGTCAAATGAATGCTTGTTACTCATTGGATGTGTGAAAGTGAATTTTCTTAAGATGCGTGCAGTGAAAGTGTGTGTGTAATTTATTTTTCTTCTGTGAATGTGAAAATGCATTTTTACTTTATAATGTACGATTGTATTCCATTGCCCATCATTATGCTTTGTACATAAATCAGCATAAAATTATGTACTATATTTTACACACATTTTATTATACATATGTTCAGATTTATTAGAACATGGTTACAATTGTATTCTCTGGCTGCAATTTACATTTATATTTAAAAACATATAAAATTTAATATATAAATAGAAAAGAAAAAGAAAACATAATAATAGTAAAAACAAAAATAATGATGTAAATAACAGGTTTACTACAAAAAATACAGAACTTCAAAAGGTGTTATATATGTATAGGTATTGAAATTTAGATTTGTCGCCGATTATCTATGTCACGACCCTACGTTTGGTAGTGAGTAGTTGTGTCCCATTTATAGCGTGAGAAAGGCTCAAAGTGTCCTGTATTGTCTGTATAATATTTTCTATACTTTTAAACTTATTTTCCATTCTTGAATACTAATTTAAAGATTTAAATGAAGTAGCTAAAGTACATAGGATCAGATTTCTCACAGTAACTGATTTTTTTATTATCGTATCACACTATTTTCAATTAAAATCAGTTGCGCACCAGCAGGGAGGTTTTGGGCTTCACACCACACCCACTTGGTTAAGAAATGCAACGGAAAATTGTCTCGTGGCAAATACAAAAGATACTTCCTTTGGGATGTGAAGTATCGTTTGACGACGATGTCACAAAAAAGTTAAACGTGTTTCAACAATTTGTGGGACAATCCATAAAACCCTAAAACATAAAACAAGAAAAGAAACCAGACTTAAGTTCTATAACGCGATGGCGATTAGTGTTATATGGAAGCGAGACCTGGACGCTCTCAAAAAGAGAAACAAATAGAGAGAGCTGCAGAAATGAGATTTCTTAGAGATGTAAAAAGGCAGCCCTGCGTAATCCATGAAATGAAGAAGAAGAACTTGCCTCGTGAACTCAATCGACAAGAGAGTAAATCATTCAGATGTCAAATATACTGCTTCCAGTACTCCGTAGTTTTTGTGTAATGTTATGTTGAGTAGGAAAAATGGCAGCAACACAACGAATTTTGTAAAAATCGAATGTACCCGTATTAAGTAATGATTATAACAAGCTTTTCACGCACACAAATGCAAATACGGAGCGTAGTACCTTTCTCTTACGTGAAAAATGTCTCATTTTGTAGTTTATGGCATAAAAAAACAAAAATCTGTTCCCTGCATGTCACGGAAATCATTTAAGGCTCTGAAAGGCATCGTTTAGCAGGAAAGCACTTTAGAAATGAAGAGAACTGTGTTGAGGGTTGCATACGCGAGCTCTATTTTAGTAATTCATTCCTTAATATGGGTGATGTGTAACCACTCTACCCGTAGGTCCGTACAAATAGCTCTCAAACGATACAATATTTTTCTTTAACGGATCAGTATGTAGGCCAGAAAGAGGGATTTCGTCAAAAGAAATAATATGTAGGATATTTCGTAGAGAACGTCTACGCAAATTCATAGTATTTTAATATACCCAGTTTTCTTAAACGTTCGTTTTGCATAATATTCCACTCGCCTTGTGAAAGCTGCCCAGCGCAGTTCCCATGCTGTGAATGCACTTCCGTGAGGACCCGTTAGCCTCGAGATCTCGCTTTCCCTCCTTCCGCACAGAACGTCCCACCCAAACACAAGGCTTGGCGTCTGCGCGACCTCACCCAAGGGCGCCGAACGTAGGCTTCGTTCGGGTCAGTAATCGATATTTTGACCGATTCTAAAACACTTGAGCATCATCAAAGATCGCGAAATGCCAACAAGATGATCTGTGCGCCAGCTGTGAATGCTTCGAAGGGTTAGTTCAAGAGCGCGCAATTAGAGATTATTAATAGACTTCATGACTATAGTAACACAAAAAAAAATATTGTAAGAATTGACGTAAATCACGCCGCAATTATGCAGATGCAAACATTTATGCGTATGAATTGGTAAGTCATCCAACGGATGTTAACGCCAGGCCAGAAGTACTGAATTTCAAAGAGTCCGCGTTATATATTTTCAACCCCCTTTAAATTAAATTCGGAATTGACTAAAATTTAACAAAGTAGTTATGGATGTAAATGATGTTAATATAAGAAATTATAAAGTGAACTTTTCTTGCATTCTAGCTACACATTGGCCGTGGGACCAGAATGACACAACTCAAAAACTATGAATTTGGATTTAATACACTCTCCAGATTGCAGATTGGTCTACCTTTCAGCAACAACAGCAATATATTTTAACAACAAATTGTAAAAGTGTTAATACGAGAAATATGCATTTCAGTATAAAGTGAAAACTTCAAAGACATTTATCTCAATATCTCATTTTTTTATGCTGTACCACTATTGCAGCCCACGAACGATATACACATTTGTATTTCATGCGAACATTCTTCAGTTTTCAAAATTATAGGGATTACAACATCCACAGCACAAGTTAGTCAACGTGTGTGAAATAAATCTAAATAATTTCCGCATGCTAGTCAAATAGAAATGCCCCGTGTCCAATTTTGTTCGCTAGCAAGTGTTAAAAAACCTCTCACATGACGAAAATACCGAATTCGCCACTTTCTAGAGATGTCTTCTAGCGGACGGCAACTTTTATCAGTTGTTATCTCTAGTTTATGCGGACATCATCAGACGAATGACCGGTATCTTAAAAAACGCGATATGGTTCGCGCGCGATTTTTCCTTTCTCTTCATTCGTCCTTTTCTTCTTGTTAAACACACACTTTTATTAATATGCACTGAACTTTCGCTCATATCGGGAGAGCAATCGTGAAATTTGAGCTTATTCCGATTGACAGGGAGGAGAAAGAGAAGGAGGTGAAAGTGGTGGTACCCTGCTGGAGGAGATAGTTGATGAGATATCATGGATGCCATGGATTATTTACTCATATTATGAAACTAATTATTTATAATAAGTAATAGATTATTGCAACATTTGCGAGATAATTGGAACAAAATAACTTACTTCGACATGTATCGCAAACTCGTGAAGTTTGACTTTAAGCAATCTATGTGGATAAATAATATTTTAATGAAATAAAACATCTTAATTTAGAGGCTAAAATAAAATGGAATTATTCACGCGAAAGATTAGTTTCGGAATCGCTGCATGGCCTCTGCCAAGCCTAACAGCAGCAGCAGCAGCAGCAGCAGCAGATGTACTCACGCAGTTTGTTCGGGGCGGCCGCCTTGAGGTCTTCCGCGAGCAGTACGAGGGTGGCTGCGACGCCTACGCAGAGGCCCAGGATTCGCGACATCTCGGCGCCGCGGCGGAGACAGTGGTTGCGCTTCCCGTGAGCGCGGCTTTAAAGGAGCTTTTTTGCCTCCGTGTTCCTGCCCTGGCGGCCTTGTTTTTCGTGCCCCCGCCCCCCCCTACCCCTCGCACGACGCGCCTTGCCTATTATGCTCAATCAACGTTTTTTTTATGTGAGCTTTATACTCCTCTGCGTGTTCATTAAGTATGTAAACGTGTACGTGGAAAAACTCTGTATATTTCAAACATTAAGATGTATCATTTACGCATTATTTTGAACTTTATGTTCAACAAAATTTCGTGTGTTTATTGTTTTCATAAAAGAGTGTTTGCTCAGGGCCAACAACAATGTGTTTAACCGAGAAGCCCGAGAAATCGAGTGTCGACCTTCGAGTTAGGTCGAATTCAGTCGCTTCCTGGAGGAGAATTCTAGCGGCTGGCTGTTTTGATTGATAGTTTCAACAGTTTCTCCAGTCAATACCAGGCGAATGCCAGAGTAGTACACTAACAACGGGCCACGGACTGTGCACGATCTTTCCTTCCTTTTCTTTGCCTACCCTCTCACCTTACACACACACACACACACACAATTACACTAACACGCACTACACTGGCACTCATTTCGAGAGACCTGTCGGGAGCTTAGAGATCCCTTTGTCACCTTTTTAAAGTTATTAGCTATCTTTGTTATACACAGATCAGTTTAAATGAAAACGACACATGTGCATGGATACCTTAAGTATTAATTCCTTACATAAAATTGCACAAATGCACAGGCTAAGAAACCTATGTTCGCACATCATACTTGGTCTGAGACATAGTTTAGGAAAGTGTGAAACTGATATTTATTCATGATGTGAAAAGGATGTGTGGGATTTTTATGTAATTAGAATGAATACAAATTTTTATACGGTTAATATGGGAGAAGAAATTATGAAAGAGATAAATGATAAGTTCCAGTTTACTTCATTGTGTATTTGATGATTTGATATGAACCATGGTGCATTATTGATGGTAGGTAAGAATTTCTTTGTTATACTCAGGTTATGTTGAATTATATTTTGAAGCGTTAATATTTATTGTGCATGCCTGAGAAAAATTGTTATTATAATGTTTTATATAATATGTGGTCTGCTGGAGAAAAATGCTTCTGAACAAAATTGTACAATCTTGTTTCCTAAAAAGTATCCTACACACTGCTCCTCAACTATAAACTAGTGGTGCTACAGAATGGCACAGACTTTCCCGAATTAATTTCTATTATCTTTTGTTTCGGCTAGCTATTCGGACTTGCCAAATATTCTTGCCAATTGCCCATTTATCGCCTCCTTTAGTAAGTATTTTAAAATATTTTCGTAATTTGTTGGTTTCCTAATAGTAGAATGGAAATATTATTTTAAGTATATTAATGAAAAGTAAAACCTCGCCTCAAAAAACAATTTTCTTTGAAAAATTTGCTGCAGTTTTTAAGAAAATGCGAAATTTGAAGCTCTTTTTCATGGAAAAGTTTTGAGTTTTCGAGAAACTTCATGTGAAGTCATTTAAAGTGTATTAACTCACAAATACAATAGTGTTTACAAATGACTGGAGATGCGCAACTATACGGCGTGAGAGATCTTTCAAACAATTACATTTTTATAATTTTTGAAAAAACAAAAAAATACTCTGAAATTAATTTTACGTCATATTAAATAGTGCAATTAATACTATCCGTTCGAAGAGTTTGAAGAAATTTGGAGGGATTTTGAAAAAAATGCGCTTATAATTGCACTGAAAATTAATAATACAAATGTTTTTGTATTGTTGTACCTAGTTCCTTGGTATTTATCAAAAACCATAAACACCACTCTCACGGCCGGAGATAAAACAATGTGAAATGGAGGTATTGGTTCCTAAATTTGTTTTTTGCTGCAGTTTACGTATTTGTGTCTACGTGCTGTTTTCAATTTATTTTAGTGTCCTTGTCCAGTGCAAAATATTTGATAGATGTATACGGAAAGAATAAAGGAAATGGGATCATTATTTCTTGTGATTGGTGGGTTGTGTGGACTTGATGAGAAGATATTACCAGCAATTTTATTTGGTTTTAACTGTTTTTAATCTAAAAGCTCAGCTGCCTATTAGGTTTAGATAGATTTGTATGTTGTTTTTGATACTGATAGAGATGTGGGATGAGAATATGAATGTAACTCCTGCAATCAGTGCTGCTTTTAAGGTGGGCGTTTGGGGACTGCGCTGCCACCGCCGCCGCTTCCACCTTCAGATTCGCCGCCGTGGGAGGCGCTAATGTTGCATGCGTGTCCTCCCCCACTTCCCCTGCTGTTTCTGCGAAAAATGTCGGGTGGGGAGGGGGTGAGGCTGCCTGGCGCTCGTGATACCAAGATGCGTTTTGTCAATAGCACTTTCAATAACCTTTGTGCCACTGCGAAGAAACTTCCCTGGCGCACTGTACCAAAGATACGAAAAAAGAAGTTGTACTCTTTCTTTGATATCTTTTTGGTTTGCGGGATGATTGTTAATTGTTACTACGAAGGTTTTTTCGTGTATTACTTTCTTTGACGTACTTCATGAGAAGAGCAAGTTATGTAATCGTGCGTCGGACAACGGCGAATTTTTGACCGAAATTTGAAAAACTCTTCTTGCGGGGCCCCAGTAACAAAAATGTGGATAAACTGCTGTTATATATAGTAAACTTCTTTCTCTAACACGCGCTGTAGCCAGAATTCACGTTTTAAACGTCCTTGATACCGAAAAATCGATTGATCGCAAAAGTTCGACCGTCCGTCTGTGGTCAACGGTAGCCCCTAAACCGTTCGGCAGACTTTTTCCAAAATTGATGTTCCGTGATCGATCTAAACAAATTCAAGGCTTTGGGAGTTACAACAGAGTATTTCGATTTTTGAGGGTACTTTATATTAAGCCTCCAAAACATTTCAAAAATTTCTTTCAGATTTTTCGCCAATTGCAGAAGTGCAATTTTTTGTTTTTTTTCCTACAACTATAATACTGAAGATGTTTTTCCTTAATAAAATCAGTTCCTTAAAGACAGATATTGAATTATGTCAGGTTCAATTTTCAAACAATATGAATTGTTTTGCGCAAAGTATAGGCAATTTTAAATTTTTTAAACAATTTTATTCTCTCTAAACTGACACCATATTTGCTTTACATTCTCTTCTCGTATGTATCAAGGATCGGTAAACGTACGGTGCTACTCCCATTTTCGGTAAAATTTCTGTATTTTCGAAAAATTAAAACTTTAAAATTTCAAAACTGCAAAATTGTAGGTTGCGGTTTTTGCCTGAGGCAAAGTGTGTTTCAAAAATATAGGTAGGTTTAAAAAAGGTGATGCACAGTTTTTGGAAAAAGAGTAATTTTCCCGTAATTTTAAAATTAATGAAAGTTATAAAAAACATTGTCTCAAAACCTCCCAATATTTTTCGTCAACTTCTTCCAGCGGATAGAAAGGACGCGCGGTTATAATTTTACAAGAAGTCTCTAAATTTTTGAAAATTGAAAATTTAGAAACAATGCTAGAAAGTATGTGCAGTTGGAGCAAAACTAGTTATCTTATTAGGATTAGAGTAGTTATAAATTTGCGATGTATCTCATTGCATCATAGATGTCATTATAAAACAGCTTCATTTAAGAATAGGTATTGACCAATCACAGAGAAGTTTACAGTTGAGGAGTAATTAATCATTGGGCGTCGTTGTATTAAACGCTTCGTTGGACAGTGTAATTACTGTGCCGAGACAACCCGTGAGATGTCGCTAATCAGCACATGCCACGCCCCTTACATCAAACCGCACATCCCGTTTCCAAAACTCAGACGAAATTCAGAACGCAAAAGCTCCTTTTGGTGAGCAGGTATTAAGCTGGCAAACAGACCTGAACTTCGAGGACTTTTCTCTAATGAACTGAATCTACATTTGACTAGTTTACTGCTCATTTGAAATCGTACTGTGCTGATGCTTAATCAATGTCACATTGGACACCAGTTGTCTTGGCTGAATCCTGCATGAAAGGAGAAATGAAACGGTTCAATGTAATAGTTCAACTTGTACATGTTATTATTAGTCGTTCAAAAGTTCTGAATGAAACTCAAAATATTAAGCATTAATACACTCGTATGAAGTTTATCAAGCAATATCGCTTCATATATTGCTTCTTGAGAAGAAGGGGTGCAATAATTACACAGGTCTACAAAATTAAACTTGTAATCAGAAATATATGCATGTTTTTTCTAAATGAGCTTTTAACATAGATTACAGACTTGAATTCTGATGTACGGCATCACTGGCCGTATTTCTACAAAGCGAATTTATTTATTACACTAAAAGTAGGTCATATTACATCACATTATAAATGATGTTAGTAAAGGTTATTCAGAAATGTGATGAACTCCCACGTGATGAACTCTCTTGTAAATGCTTTGGGATCTACTCTGTATAACATCCCGCTGATATGTCATCATGAAGCCATTTTCCAAACCTTGGAAGCGTTATTCTTTTGTTCTTATATCTTGATGGAAGCGTTCACCTTGTTCATTACTCACGTACCCAGGTTATCAGGGAAGAAATCTAAATGAGAGTGTAGGAAGTGTAACTTAAGTGACGTTCTACAGTCCAGTTTTTGAAATGTACCCGAAAATCTCTTGATTACAGTAAGAAAATCTAAAGAGTTGTTTTCCTGTAGGAAATGTTCACGCAGCGAGTGAAAACTAGTCCAGGCATCTTGTTATTCTGGAGTCATCGTTTGTGTCAATGCATGATCTTTTAAAAGCTCTCCAATTAGGGAAGATTCCTTCCTTAATTTTGCTGCACAGATGTTTAAAAATTGTTGAAGGTACTGGAATTTTCCATAGTTTGCCTTACACATCGCCTTCATCAAACAATAAATCGGATCTATATATATGAGGGAGAAATATCATATTAGTATGAATTAGAGGAATATTGAGAACACTGTATTCCAGGTCTCATAAGAAACTCGTCTGTTTCTAATTCTTCTTAATAC